GAAAAAAATTCCCTAGACCACGTCCAAGTTTGGATAAGATTATACTAAGAAAATACATGAATCAGTTTCAGATGATTCAGACACAATGCCGATTTTATATTACAAGTCACTGCTATTGTATGCTGCTTAAAATTACTTCAGGTGAAACTGCCACAGGATTTAAGTTATCAGACTCATAACAGATGTATTCACAGAAAATAACTTCTCCAGGTAAAAATTCAAAATATCTGAAGACACTTCACTTGCTAAGTCCATATCTAGCATATCTATAATCTCTTTAAATTTCTATTTGAGAAAACACTTTTCCTATAATTAATAGACTCATCCAATAATTTGTACATTTCCAATCCCTTTGTTTTCAAATTCAGGAAGTATATTCATATTTCTTCCTAAGTTTAACATTAGTCAGACATACTTTCAGTTACTTGCTCTTACTTGTTATAAGCAAAATATGCAACCTTTTAAAAACTTTTTCTCAGTTCAAAACATCATCCCAAAAAATAAATTAAAAAAATAATAATAATAAATAAATAAAAATAAATAAATAAAAACATCCCAAACAGGTAAGTTGCAAAAAAATTTGTAATGTATTTGCACCACAATGCAATGTTTTATTTAGCATGTTGTCTGAGCATGTTGTATTTAGGTTTCAGGATGTTGTATTTTGTCAACTGATATTATATCTTTTAACATTTAACAAACATCTTTAATTTGTGTGAAGTGCCATGATTGAATTTCATCTTAATGTCCCTCAGGATTAGTATTTGTGTTTAATGTAGTTTTTAGACGGGCTTCCCAGATAGCTCAGCAGTAAACAATCTGCCTGCCAATGCAGGAGACACACAGGTTAGATCCCTGGGTCAGGAAGATCCCCTGGAGGAGGACATGGCAACCTGACCTAGTATCCTTACCTGGAAAATCCCATGGACAGAGGAGCCTGGTGGGCTACAGTCCATGGAGTCACAAAGAGTCAGGAATGATCGTAATTTTTTAACTGCTCAATGAATTTTATCTGTATCTATCAATCTGTATCTTCTGTACAGTATTAAAAAGATATTTGAAGTCATTGAAAGTAGTCTTTTTGCACATTAAATTATGTGCTGAGAAAGGCAGAAATTTGGCATGATCATCTTGAGGGAAAAGCTTGTGTACCCTGCAATATTGGTTCTATTAACATAACCCTGACCTCAGAGATTTTTATTAAGAATTTCATAAGATAGCTCATATTCCCTAATCTCTTCAATAAAATCAAAATTTCTATTGTTATAACATTCTTAATGAAAACATACTTAATAATCTCACACACTTGTTTATAGTGGGCTACATCTGGTATAGAGAGTAAGGGAAAGAATTTTGTTTATTCCAAATAGTATTCCAAATCTAATATGATTTCCTAGCAGCATTATGTATCTCCCAAAATTCATAAGTTTAAATCTTGACCCCTAGTACCTTGAAATGCTACTCTATTTGGAATTAGGGTCTTAAAGAGATATTTAATGTAAAATTAGGCCATATGGGTGGGCCCTAATCCACTATAGCTGGTGTCCTTATAAGAGGAGATTTGGACACAGACAGCACATCCAGAGGTGACCATGTGAGAAAGTGGCCATTTGGAAGCCAAGGAGAAAGGCCTCGGGAGAAACCAAACTTCCTGAAACCTCCATCTTGGACTTCTAGCCTCCAGGAACTGTGAGAAAATAAGTTTGTTTTAAACCACCCAGTCTGTGATATTTTGACAGCCCTAGCAAACTAATACATGTTGTAAATTTGTTTTGAATTTTATTAGACAAATAAGGCAGATTCCTTTTTATTATAGCTATAGCAACATTATAATGACTATAAGTTCAATTAAATTAAGCTACATACATAGTTTTTGGTTTTTCAGCTTTTAAATTCAACTTATCCTGATATTAAAACAAGCATCCAGAGTATAACTGACAGAGTTGGGAAGTTAAAAGGGCATGTGAAAGTTAATTTTAACTAGGCTAGACTGTGGTGACTAATTGCGTGGTCAAACACTAGATCTTCAGCTCACATAGTAAAATATCAGAGATGTTACCTTAGGCTTACAAAACAAAAAGGACGTTTGTGTTACCAGGCAAAGAAAGGACTATAAAAAAAAAATCAAAAAGTGACAAAAGGGAGAGGAAGATGTAATAGAGGATAGTGAACAAAGCTAGATGATCATCTCTTAAATTTCTAAAGTGGAAAAATCAAAAGATAGCTTTGTAAATATATGATTATAGTCAGAAAAATTAGACAATTGAAAAAGGTTCCCTTAAGAATGTGAGAATAGAGTAGGAAAGCATTATTCATGGTAAACTCATCTGTTTCTTATTTTTAAAGCCATGTGCATGTATTTTAAACTGAGATTAGCAGACAAAAAAACAATTCCTACTTATTCTTCAAGACCCAGATCTAACAATGTGGTACCTACTCCTGGTTAAATGAGACCTCATTCTCCTGTGCTACTCAAGCACTAGGTTCTCTGTTATCAAGCCTCTCCAACTTTACACATCTATCTATGATCCCGGAGAAGGATGAATCTCAGGTAGGTGAGCCAAAAGTCTGGTTTCTTTTATCCTTTGATTATTTACTGATTCTATGCATGAGATAAGAGACTGGGTAGCCAGATAAAGAACCGAAGTAACAGGTAACTGCTAAGAGAGAAACCAGCAGAGATCTTGGTGGTCTCAAAGGGCACTGAAAGACAAAAAATTAGATTGTAATTTTTTAGAATACTTGAGGGAAGAGTATAGAACTCAGTCAACCACTCACCCTGTTTACCCATTAGGACATTTTGTAAATTCTGAAGCTGTGCACAATGGAAAATTAAGAAGCTAAGCAGAAAACCTCTGGGGGAAAAAATGGATTTGAGGAGCAGTGTTTAAATACTGAGGATACAAGGATTAGAATTATAGAACTGCTAGTGAGACAAATCCAGGGAACACTCTAGGCAGAGAAGTTGCAACTCTCTATTATTTCTCAGATTCCTTTACTCGCTGGCTTCCTGTTAGGTTCTGATGATGGAAGGCACTAGAGGGAGATTGTATGGCAATCAATAGGTAACAATTGCCCTAGAACCAGTGATTTTTTGCATGAGAGACGGTTTCATTAAGCCACTAAGACTTAAGGGTTATTTTATTACAGTACCACAAGCTTAGTCTATCCTAATAAAATACATAAAAAGAATCTCTTTAAGTAGATCCTTGCACCTCATACCATATACAAAAATAAAACCTGGGTGTATTAAAGATATAAATGTAAAAGACATAACTATAATACTTTTAGAAAAGAATATAAGAAATATCTTCATGATCTTGGGATACAGAATTTTTTAAACAAGGCATAAAAGCATAAATCTAAAAGGAAAATCCTGATAAATTTGACACAGAAATTAAGAACTTTTGTTCAACAAAAGAACTAGGAATGAAAAGACAAAGTAGAAAAAAAATATTTGCAAAACATCTAACCAACAAAAAGCTTGTGTTCATAGTATGTTAAAAATTTCAATGAATTAGTAGGAATCAGACAAAATAAAACCTAAATACTAATAAACATACAAAAAGCTGTTCAATGTCATTAATAATCATGTTAAGATAGATAAAACTATCTATATAATAAGCTAGCTAAAATGCAAAATTGTGACACTATCAGATATTGGAGAAGATTGGGATTAACAAGAACTTTTACTTACACCTGGTGGCAATGTGCATAACCGCCCTGGAATACATTATATGTAAGGTTGAAGACCCACCTACTGAGAGTCAGTATTTCCACTTCTAGGTATATATTCTAAAAAATGTGTTTATTTGCACCAGAAATCACATATAAAAATGCAACAGCAGCCTAATAAAAAGACTGAGACCAATTCAAATGTCTATCAACAGTATATTAGTATATTATGATACTGTCCTATGATAGATGCTAATAAAACTGAACTACACAAATTAACTTAAATTACAGCTTCACAACATGAATGAATCCTACAAACAACTATCAAATAAGTCAAACACCCCCTAAAATATACTCTTGCTTTCACTACAAAAAGTTCAAAATCAAGGAAAACAAAATAACTACTATTTATTTAGGGATATAGACCTGGATAGTAAAACTACGAAGAAAAGCAAAGGCATAACTACCACAGATCTGTTGACAGTGGTTACCACTGAGGTACTGGGGGCAGGTCAGTGAAATGATCAGAGGGGCACCCAGGGGCCCCTGAGGTATAAGTCTGAAAATCTCTTCTCTAACCCAGGTGATGGTGACATGGGTCTTCATGCTCTCCTTCATAGTTTTTAAACTGTACATCTATGTATCACAACCAACTTTGTGTGTATGTCTCAAAATTTTAAAGTAAGAAATTTCAAATTATAACAGCATCACAACCTTGGATATACATGGTCTCCATGTTCTCTGAGATGCAAGGAGACTGTCTCTCTCACTTTCCAGAAAGAACACTGAAGCTTAGAAGAAAAACAAGTGTTGAAACCTGGTCTGGAACATCAGGGCTTGCCTCTCAAGTATTCATTATCCAGATTCATTATCCAAATGGTGAACTTGGTAAAAGCTCCCCATCTTAAAAAAAAAATACTCCAAATAAGGCTCTTTAAGGCTTCTGGCAGGGACATTTTATTTTTGGTTAAAGCCACATTAATAGAAATTCCATAAAAACAAGCATGTAAACAAGGTATCAGAACTTTGGTTCACTGAAACATCTCACACCTAAAGCATCTGAGGTACAAAAGCACCTTGCTAGGTGCAGACCACCTGACTCTACTCCAACCCTACCCAAGCGTCCAGAGATAGCATAGGCTGGCCAGAGAGGCTGGGACCCAGGTCATCCAGGACCTTCCCTAGTCCACTCTCTACTCCATACAAAACATTCACGCCTCCAGAGACCCGCCTGATGGGACTGGAACATAGACAGGAGTCTGTCACATTGAACTTGAAGACAACACGGACTGTGGGGCCAGGAAGGCAAAGGGCAGAAAATGATGTCAGTCAACTTCTGTCGATCCACACGGCCTCAAGAATTCCTGTCCTCGTTCATGGAACCACTTATTGGAGACTGTGAACAGACAGAAAGTGTTACAATCCTGTTGGTTAGTTTAGCAGCCAAAATTAATGATTCCTTCATGATGACTCCTACACTAGGCCTGGGAATCAGACATGAGTAAGACTTGGTTTCGGTCATCAAGTTGCTTATGAGTTGGTAAGGAAAACAGATAATTGTACAAAAGTCTGTCAGTGACACAAGATATCTGTAGGTTGCCACAGAAACAGAGCTAAAGAGCATTTAACCATGTGGGAGAAGAGGAAACCCTAGGGCTGGGACAGGAAGCTAAACAGGAGTTATCCAGGGAAGAAAATGGACAGAGCAGGTGGTTCCTATACCAAAGGGGTCTGGGAAGTGGGAACAGGGTGACAGAGAGAGCAAGGAATGATCCACGCTGGTGTGTGTGTCAAGGACCCCAACCCCCTACTGGAATGTGGTGGGTGGGAAGTGAGATGGAAAGAGACAAGGCAGCCTGTCAGGACTGTGGCAGGCCTGGAGTCCACCTCAGGGGCTCCAGACCAGCAGATCAACCCTGTATGTTGTGAGTAGCAGGAAAGCAGAGCTGCTGCTAGCACGATCACCTGAAGTTGTGTCTTAAATGCTCACAAACCACTGTTTTCATTTCATAGACTCATAATGAATTTAGAAAATTGTTTTTAATGTACGAATGAAGTCATTGTACTTTTAAAATACACTTTGTGATAATTAAATAATACATGTACTTAGCTGAAAAAATAAAATTGTTCTACAAGGCTTATAATAATAAATAGCAATTTCCTACCTATCCATTCCCACCATCAATCCCCACTTCCACTGAACATTTATTTAACTCCTTTGTCTCTTCTGATATTTATCCTCATTTTTCTAAATAACATACTTAAAATGTTATTTCTTAACTTTCAACTTTAGATCTTATATGTTGATAGTCTACCATGGAAGATGGGAGCTTTGGAATTTTTTACACCACTCTTTAAATACATATTTCCCCTTCCTATCCCCCAATATAGTTATATCACAAGTTCTAGTTAAATTAATATTCAGTATTTACATTATTATGTCATGTAAATATTACTCACACTTGAGCTACCTAATAGATTGTACAGCTGACCCTTGAACAACACATTTGAACTGGGCAAGTCCACTTATATACATGGGTTTTTTAAAAGATTTATCACTTTATTTTTAAAATTAATTTTTTGCTGCACTGGGGTCTTCACTGCTGTGCATGGGCTTTCTCTAGTTGTGGCAAGGGAGGTGCTACTCTCTAGTTGTGGTGTGTGGGTTTCTCATTGAGGTGGCTTCTCTTGTTGAGGAACACAGACTCCAAGTACATGGGCTTTAGTAGCTGTAGCATGTGGAATCTTCCTGGACCAGGGATCAAACCTGTGTCCCCTGCATTGGCAGCCAGACTCTTAACCACTGGACCACTAGGGAAGTCCTATTTTTTTCAATAGTAAATACTACAGTACTACATGATCCACAATTGTATGAATTCGTAAATGTAGAACCTTGGATATGGAGGAACCACATATATGGAGGGCCAACTATAAATTACACATGGATTTTCAACTGTGTAGAGGGTCAGCACCCCTAACCCCTGCTTTATTCAAGGGTCAACTGTATTTCCTTTCTGGTACAACTTTTTTATTTTTTCTTATTTTCTTTCTCATTTGCTTAATTTTCTGTGAACCTATCACTATTTATCCCCATAACTCTCCAAGAGGGCTATAAATTCATCTCTTTGTGATCACTTCCTGTCACATCCTGCTTCAAGCCTCTCCATGACTCACCACAGCTGCTTCCAAAACAAAGCTCAATTTTCAGCCTCCACAGTTTGATTTCAGCCTCAAGCCTCATCTCTCAGTCTCTGTGCCACAAGCCTCCCCTTGTGCAAGAGACAAAGGCAGCTGGTCCCCACACCTATGATGTTGGTTTTAGCCTGAGCCTTGTTCCACATGGGCTTTGCTTTCCTGAGACACGTTTTCCTCTTTCTGTTTCCACTTCTTCCCACTGTGACCTCAGAACCCTTGCCAGAGTCCACTCTTCTGGGAGCCATCCTGGACCTAGGATGCCTGTATAGCTATTTTTCCTTGGGGCTTCCTTAGCTCTCTGGGAACCTCTGAAAGTGTTCCCGACCAAATGTCTTAGCATATAACCAGCTGAGTGGACAGCTAACATGGCTGGGTGGGACTACTGGTTATCAAGGAAAAACAAAAAGAAAACCCCAAAATCTCCAAAAGGGAGACAGTTTTGACTCTGTGAAAATTCAGCAGCAAGTATCTCTCAGTTCAGAGTCTCAGGCTGACCACCAGAGCCCAGAGGCCACCACCACAACTTAAGCCACTCACCCCACTTGCAGCCCACAAGCACGGGGCAGGCAGCATGTCTTGTTCGGTAGTCACCTTCCCCACTCCGCAGGAGGTTGTACCAGAATACAGCTGTGCCCTGGAAAGAGAAAGCCTGTCATACAACACCCTTAGATACTGGGCTCAAGGATCTAATGCTGAGTACCCCAGAGCCCCCTCTGAGCAGAAACACTTTCACTCTCCTCTGTTCAGGGGCACAGGACTCTGGGGCTCCAGCGTAGACAAGTTCCCCAAAAAGCTCCTGCCCCTCCTGGTGGAGTAGATATTGAGAATCTCACCTGGCCCTCAAGGAATTTCCCTCTCCAGTCCATCTCCCAAGGTGAAGGCCTAGGCCACAGGTCAGGGTTCAGGCAGGAAATGGCCAAGGTCCCTCAAAGTGAGGGTCAAGCAAGCCAGGGAACTGGACTAGGAGACAGGAATGAGTCTGGGCCCTGCGCTCCAACCTTTGACCCCCAAGAACCAGAACTTACCTTCTTAGGCCAAATGGCAGCCCCCAGATCAGGAAAGACGGTGGCACCACCAGCTTCTACATCACTCATCTGGGAATACAAGACACAGAGCTTGGCCCCCCTTCTACTCAATACTCTCGGAGCAACTGAGCCACAAAGGACATGATAAATATGTGGATTGTCCTCCTCTGAGCATCAGTAGCTCCACCACTAGCCCTCTGACCAAGAAAGGCTCTTCCCACATCCTGCCCCTCCCTAAACCCTGCTTAATCTGAGTGGTTCATCAGGACACTCTCATGCCATGGAGACATGTAGGCCTAAGGAGACCCATACCCTGGCTGTCCTCGAATGGGAAAAATCTGAGTCTGTACTGGGAAAATGCCTGACTGACCCCCACCCCCATTATTATCCAAGCTGGCCCTTGCCTAAGCCAGTGTGCCCTGTGAGCTGCCCTGACCAGGGGCTCCCTGTGGCTTCTATCACCACTGGTGGTCCCAACTCTGCACTGTTTCTCTGGCTTGAGTAACTTGCAGCTCTAGTCAGAGCCTCACCTTCCCGCAACAGCCACCCTCCCAGGGCCAGCTAGGGTACTCTGTCTCCAGAGGGCCTGCTTCTCCCACAGTAAAACCTCAAACTAAATGCAACACAATTTCCACAGCAGCAAGGCTGCACTCATGCCCACAGAGCTCAGCTCGTGCCCAAAGCACTACTTCTTTCTCATCTGGCTCTCTTAATTCAAGTTTTTGCCTGTAAGGTAATAAAACATGGAGCTAAAATATTTCCACAGGACACATACCAGACAGACTGAAGGGCACCCAACAGACTAATGGTAAATGAGGAAAATGAAAACCCCTGATGGCTTCTCACCAGAATGAGGATCAAATCCAGGCTCTTTTCTAAAACCTGAAGGCCCTGGCAGTCTCCCAAGCCTCTCCCTTTAGCCACCCCAGATTAACACACTTATCTCTGAGACACACCACCCTTTTTTCTCTTTTTCCAACATCCCAAGTTCCTTCCCTTTTCCAGGCCTCCACATTCTCCTCTCTACCAGAAAATCATGTTCTACCAACAAATTTCCACCCAACCTTTAAGTCTCAACTGACATGTTACTTCTCAAGGGAGGCTTTCTCAGAACCTCCACTCTGCATTACTTCTTCACAGCACTTATCACTATGGTAACCAATTACCTCTTCCATGTCTAAAGTCTTTCATATTAGACCATAAGCCCAAGAGAAACCACGCATGTCCTGCTCACCAGCACACTCATAGCAGTCCCCACAACATAATAACCACACAACAAAACTTAAACAAGACCAAAGGGGAAAATGGACACAGGCTTCTATCTCTAAGTTACTTCTATGCCTCTTTAGGGATACCTCTTTCAGCCAAGGGGAGAGGAAACTGTTCCTCATGTGAGAGGTAAACCTAACCTTGGCTGGAGTACAGGCAGCAGGTGGGAAGCAGGCAGGCCACTGAGCTCCGGGGAAATGAAGGCAGCTTCATTTAAGAGCACTTCCAGGCCACCTCCTCACTCTGACGCCAAGCAGAGACCTCTCCAGGATACCCATCCCCAAGTCCAGATTAGCACTGGGCCCATCAAAAAGGAGCCAGGGATGTAAATCACAAGAGTTGGGAGAGGCACACAAATGGAAACACGGGGCAACACTCTACACCAGCGAAGAAGGGTACTGAGGGCCAGGAGGACCCAGCCGCTGAGCAACAGCTGGTGGTATCGGCTCTGATGGGAGCACATTTAAGAGAGCACTCTGGACCCAGGCTCCCCTTAAGCCCACACATTGCAGGCATCATACTTACGTAGTTTAAGAACGTGGCCACACGATTCCCCGTCCCTAAACGCTTGAAAGCATCTTGCTCATCTTTCTATAAAATTAAGTGAGAGCACACAGGTGGGCCTGTACCCAGTACTTACATAGTTAAGAAACGTCGCTAACCTATTCCCCTCCGTTTTGAGGCCGCTGTCAAAAGGTCGCTGCAATAGACAACAACTTTCACCCAAGTTTGCAACTGACTTCCCCCGCCACCCACAGGACTGGGGCCAAAAAAGTCGAGGGAAGGTACTAAGCGGGGGTTCCGTACATAGGCCTGGACCAGGGACCAAAGTTGCAAAGGAAATCCTGGCTGGGCATAGAGGAGAAGGGGCAGGAAAGAGTTCACAGAGACCTAGTGATGTCCTCTGCTTCAGAATCAGGGCAAAGAATGGCAGGGTCGGGTCAGGGGGACCACTCCCAACATCACAGGGGAAACAGCCAGGCTGCACTCGGCTCTGGACTTGGGCTTCTCCAGTAACAAAGAGTGGGCCCTGGTGAGGCGGGGGCGCTAAGGTGAAGGCTACAGCCTTCTCAAACCAGCTAGAGGAGGGCCTTTGAAAAAACCTGAGTGGGGTCTTACCCTGGAGAAGTCAAAATGTGGCTCATACTGTCCTCCCATTCCATAATTAGCAACCTGGTAGGAAATAACAGCATTGGACTTCGTCAGCAGCATGAACCACCTTGAAGCAGCCCATCTCCCCAGGTAACAACCAGAACCCTGAGGAGCAGCCTCTCTGAGGAGGGTAGCTATGCCCTGCCAGTTTGGGCAGAACAAATGCTACAAACAGGTCTATAGTTGTGTCCAAGAGGAAGGATGCAACACAAATGTGGTTTCCCAGAAAGGACATGATGGGCAAGCTGCAGATGGCCACTGTGGAGAAGCTCCAGCCCTTGAGGGACACATGGATGGCAGCAGAGGGAGCCCTCCTTCAGGCAGGGCATGATTATTTGCAAGATAATGAGTGGTAGTCCAGACGAATGCCAACAATAAATTCAGAATCGGTTTGTTGGGGGGAGGGCTTTTTTTTCTTTTTAGTACTAGTTTGGGAGCTACTCAGTGCCTGGCCATGCTCCTGCCACCTCTGTCACCAGGCCCCAGAAACTCATCTTGGTCAGGCTGAACAGGACAAACAAATCCCACCCCATCTCACAGTGGTCCGCTGCACGGAATGCTTCTGCACCCAAGTGCAGCAGCAAGGCCTGCGCGGCTGGCTGGAGGGGGCCCAAAACTGCTGCTCTGTCTCATTGCCCCCAAGTGAAGCCTGAACCCAGACCAGGGCCTGAGCCACCTCAGGCATCACTAATTGGATCAGAAGTCATAAACACCTTTGTGAACAGTTTACCAGCACAACATAAGTTCTAAGTAGCTAGATGAGAGATGAAGTTCAAGATGAAATGCAGAATCTGACATGAAAGCTGATGTACCAAATGGTACCACCAATGTCCATCTGGGAACACTTGGCTACTGTGTCTTAATGAAACCATAAACACTTTAAGGATTCAACAATTAGTCATCAGAAAATTAATTTCATATAAACTTTTTGGTGATTCTAAGAGTCAGGAGAGAGATGCTGCAAAACTGGCAATAATGGCCATCTACGAACAGGATGGAGAGAGAGGGAGGACGGGCTTTACAAGAGAGAAAATCCTCCTTTTGGAGTAGCAAACAGTATTTATTGAATGTGATGAAACGCAGATCTGGGCAGAATGATTCTTTTCAATGTCCATAAAAATAAAAACATTGATAAGGAGAATCAGAATCAGTGGAAGAAAACATCCTGTCACACACTGCTTTGGCCTTCAAGTGTCCCACACCAAAAATACTATCAACAATGCAAGGAGGCCGAGTTCAGCAGGTGACCCTGAGACTGAAGATGCATGGAAGGAGAGAAGTGCTAGAGAAGTTGATGAAGTGATATTACAAATGCTTTGTTTTTGGATCCACTATAACCAAGAACTTGAAGAAAACTTTAAACATGACTGTGATCAGTTTGCCAGTGCATTCAGGAAAGTTCACTCGCTGCTTGTTGCTGGAGGTGCAAGGTATGACTGCATTTTCCAACACTCCCACTTGTTGGATGGAGTGCTTAAACTTTCACTACCTGGGGATAGTGAAAGAAGCTGCATTGTTACAGGTGGCTTATCTTTTAGCAGTTGTGAGAGTCACATTTGATCATGGTGTTCAGGCTACTGTACCTATACTATTTAATACCATCCCCAAATAGTCCAAGTGCCATGGGAACTTCTGGATGTGCAGCCATCAGAATCACCATCTGGGAAACTCCAGGCCCCAGACTCATACCTTACATAACAAGAAGCTGTACATCAAAACTGGTTCCTGAGAGGAGGTATTCATTTGTCACAAAAGTATTAAGAGTCAGTCCTTTGAAAGATGTGGGTATTTATGATACTGAGGTCAAAGTGAAGGGGGACAAATAGTTAGAAATCACTTTTTTTGTGAGACTGAGGCATCGAGTCAGCAGAGTCTTCAATCTTCAGGAATTCTGGCAATGCAGAATCTCTTCCACTCTCAGACAGACCCTCATCCAATTCAAAAGAAAGCCTCAATTGCCCTTTCGTCCAAAATGATCTAAAGCAAACACATCAACTACAGATGAGAGTGTCAACAGGCAGCAGAAGAACCAGGTCCTTTCCAGAAGGCTGTAATGCTCCCAGGAGGACCCTGGTGGGAAGGCTCTTGCTGGTGCCTAGGCATGTATCACACTGTGCGGAATGTGGAATGAGCATTGGGAGACAGGTTCGGAAACCTAGTTTCTTATCCCCTGTCTGTGTAGGATCAAAGCTTTGAACAACACTGGCTGGCAAAGAAAATGCCAAGATAGTTCCTAGAGAATGAAAGCAAACAAAAATGTTCTTCCAGAAGACCCTGACCATAAAAGCCTATACACTGGGAGTTGCAGCATTCAAAGCCCATTTATCAACTGAGTTACAACATTACAAAAGATCAGTTAAGATGAAGCCAGACCAAGGACAAAGCTGCTGTCTTCTGGGGTTGCATGTGAGATAGGGTACAGCCTGGAAGTCAGCCAGGAGAACAACAGGGGTACAGGCCTTGTACACTCTTTTCAGCCTCTTAGCCCAGGGTATGGAGTCAGGAACCAGATGGAACATCATCCTCCTCAGTAAGGGCCATGATGGTCCTAACACTGGCTCTGATTTGCAGGAAGCAATGGTAGATGTCTTAACAATAACACAAAACCTGTTCCAGGAAGGTATGAATCACAACTACACCAACAGGAATGCACTTGGGGCATGGAGACCCTATCGTTCTTGAAAAGGGTGTGCTCTCCCACCTAACAGGGGAGTGGGAGATGTGGCAGAAGTCCTCTCTCGATGCGCTTGTCTGCAGATCTTACCTAAAAATTAAGACTGACAAACTCAACACTAAGCTCAGTGGAACTTAAAAAATTACATAAAATGGTCACGAAACTATAAGATAATCAGCATGCTTAAAAAAAAAAAACAAACAAAAACTCTGGCAGACTTCATACAAATCCATAAAGACAACCTTCAAAATTGGTTTTGGTTGCTGACCCAGCTATGGAGTGGGGAATGAGTGCTGATTTGCTTGGATGTGTCCAGGCAAAAGTTCAGAGAATATTTTCCAAGTGATCTCAGTTCAGTATTCTACTGAGAGCTATGGTTGATCAGTTAAAGTGTGAGATCCTTAATTACACAGAACATCTGGCCAAACAGATCCAGGAGACTCAAGAAAAAATGCCAGTGAAACTTTTCTGGCAGTGTCTCAGGGCATCACTTTACAGCAGAATTCAGAATCGGGGTTGTTCAGAAGGGATCATGCACAGTGCTGATTTGCACTCACTAGAACAGAGGACACATTAGTAGGAGCTCTGCCCATAATGTTCAGTATGGTGCTGCCATATGTCTTCACCTCTGAAATAAAAAGCAGGAAGCCAGGGTCCCAGGGAATCACTTAAAATGGAGTACTTCATCTTCACCATCCAACCAATCTAGGCCTCTCACTGCTAAAGTATTACAGAACACTTTACCTCCAAGTGCACTTGACTAAGACTCAGAACCATACATCTGAATATATTCACAGCTCTTAGAGGTGTCCCTGCAACAATTCAGGATTTTCAGCTTCTGTAGTCAAGATGACATAAATGGGCCTGCCATACCCACCAATGATCCCTAGCACCTAGTGTGATACTCGGGCACAGAGAAGATATTCAGTTGACATTTGTGAACACTAACTGTTGAATGCCAGTGGGCATACTTAATTCTGGCTTCCCAATAGGAGGCCACTCCATACTCGTGGCATCCTATAGTCAGACAGTTTTTTGGGCAAGCCACCCTACGCCCAGCCCTGAGCACCCTGGGAGATGATCTAGCTAGAAACACTCCCTTCCTAACTCCAGGGTCCCAGGAACAAGCCATACCTGCAACAATTCTGCAGTCTTCACTGTTAGCCCTGTGATATGCTGCATCCGCAGATTCACCCGAGCCACAACAGGGTCATCATCCTCCTCCAGCCAGGAGCTACACCAAAACAAGAGGGAGAGAAAAGAAGAAGGGCAAAGCAGACTTAGATGAGGTCCTACACTCTCCCCAGCCTCAGGGCCAGCATGGAAGGCAGCACAGAGTGAAAGTTCCACGTAGGCAGGTGCGGGCGCCAGCAGGGAGAACAACCACCCGAGTCACCCGCCCTCAGTAGGAACTGGGAGGCCCCGGAGCTGGGGCTTGAGCAGCCATCCCTCCACCACCATCACCTTTGCTAACCTTTTGGAAACCCTGTAGCTGGCGACAGTGAGCACACCTGTCTTGGGATCACGAACAGTGGCTCGTGCAAGCTGGAAGGCAGGAAGAAAGGGCACACTTATCATACTTTGCCTTGAGTGTTTACCTGGAGAGACTGGGACCTGATCTGCCAGTCAGACCAGGAGGGGAAGGAGCTCTACAGGTAGTGGCTCTAGCCAAGGCCCCTTGATCCTACAAGCCAGGCCAGGGCAGTGGTCTCCAAATTCCTGTTCTATTGTCAGAGCCTGGCCACTGCCCACCCCTGCTCCCTCCCAGGTCCACGCTGTCTGCAGAATTATGCCTCTGGAGTCTGTTTAGTCCATTCACCCATCTGCCTGGACAGCCCCTTTCTCCCCAGGCCCACACACCACACCTGCCCATGCCTGGCTGCTCCCACCACATTCAGACTGTGCTGCCATCCCTGAGTCTCAGTCTTGCATGCTTCTCTTAACACAGTCAAGTCCACTGTCCTTCTGAACCTCAGCAACCTCCTCTGCCCAGAAACCTACCCAAACACTCTACTACTGCACAGCCCCTGCTGGCCTCCCACTGCACAAGGAACAAAAACAGAAGGCACAGTTTTCACTCCCTTGGGAGCATTGTAAGGTCAGAAGATAGAGTCAAGGAAAGCAATCTACAAGCAGCAATAAGTGAACGGCGCAGGAAGCCACCCACCTCCACATGCTCACTCATAATACGTACACACCTCACCTATCTCATCTCCCCCAGTTTCCACAGACTGCTGCAGTGATACTCCCAGGAAGGGCCTGCTGCCTGGAGCCAGCCCCACATGCTCCAGCTGCGGACTGTCTAAACTAGTGCTTACTCATGTGCCTAGCACAATGCCAGGTGACCAAGACATGGCCTCTATCCTCATACAGCTCAGTCAGGTGGGAAGGAAGAAAACTAGCTGGGTAGTCACAGCACAGCATGTAGAAGCTGGGAAGCAGGAAGCTCAGTGTCTGGGGAGCGCAGTCTACAGGGTCAAGATTGGTTTCCTGAGAGGGTGATGGGGGAACCACCTAGCTGAGATTTGAACGGTAAGCAGGAGTTAGCCAGGCAGAACATTACAGGAACAGGGAAGGAACAGCAATGCAGGGACCCAGAGGTGAAAATGGATGTGGCATATGACTGTGGATTAGAAGTGAGAGGAAAGAGATGAGAACAGGCTGAGGAGGCAAGAGGGGGTTGAGCTGGATGTAACCTGTGACCGGTGAGAAGCAGGGGAGGGACACCACAACCTGAGTGTAAGAAAGAGCACTGTGGATACATCATAGAGGGCTGACTAAGGAGGGGTCAAGGCAGGAACAAGGAGGCCAGCGAGGATGTCAGAGAGAGGTCAGGGCAAGAGGTGGCAGAAGGGATGGAGGGGGTGGATGGACCAGAAGGCTGGCCAACCTGGACAGGCGCTGCTGCAGCACATTCGGGTAAGACCCGCTGCACCCAGAATGGAAGGCTCCCCTGAGATCCCACCTGCTGTTCCTTCCTGATGACAACTGCAGCTGTGGCTAGATCCCATCCAAACAAGTGAACCACAGCACTGGCCTGACGCCCACAGGGAGGCTCTGGGCATCTGTGCTCGGCTCCCAGGGACAGACAGAGCTATTTTGAAAGCAGGCCAGAGACCCGCAGGCAGCTGCCAGGCATTCCCCACAGGCTAAGTTAAGCTCATGGGCCCTACTTCAAAGCCAGGATAGCATCTGTCCCTCACAAGCTCCGGAAAGGAGAGGTCCGCCTGTAATAGCCAACATGTGTGGCCCTTCGCAGGGCTTCTATTCAAAGACTAGCTTTCCCAGCCACTCTCCTCTTCAGCCACACCCATGTGCACACATCCACCCAACATGAACATACACACACACACAGCAATGTTTCTGCCTTGGTCAGAGGGACAAGGGAGGAATCTCTCAGGAGCATCCGGTACCACAGTGCCTCCCTCACCTGACAGCCAAGAAAGCCGTTTTCGTTCTTGCAGGAATTTGGAGCTGGTCCAGGGAATGGAAGAGCATGGGGGTCTGTGGTCCCCGTTCTCCACACACACTGGCTAGACCCTCCCTCAGCAATATCAGTGACCCTAACAAGTGGCTCTGAGCCCTGGAGGTCCTAGTACCTCAAAGCAAGGTTGTTCCAAGGTGCAGTCCAGGGCCCAGGATGGGAACCTATCCTAGGTCTCTCCAGGAGTGCTGGCCTCCTGGCCTCGACAGTTCTCTTAGAAGCAGAGAAATAGAGGATCTCCAGCTAACTCCTCCTCCTGATCACCAGGAGAAGGGTTGGGACATGGCAGCAAGCAGTTCTCTTTGAAAGATGAAATGGGAGAAAATCTTTTATGAACTAGAAGAATAATTTTGTAACATGATGACGTATATACAAAACCAACAGCCAACGTGCACACTTACCAGTGAAATACCAAAGGCATTTCTAGGAAATTCAGGAACAAGGCAAAGATTCCTATTATAAAAACTCTCTAGAAGCTCTGGACAATTCAACAAGACAACAGAAACAGAACTATAATGAATAGGAAGGAGAAAACAAAATTTTTCTAATTTGCAGGTGCTAGTACTATATGGACAACCTAAGATAATTAGCTAAAAAGCAAAAGAATAAGAAATGAATTCAACCACTAGCTGTGATCTGCACCGGGTCTATTTCCTTGTGAGTAAAATGAAGATGAAGACAGAGCCTGCTGAACAGACACAGCAGTTAACACATGTTAAAGACTTAGAATAGGGTCTGCCACACTTCAGAACTCAGTACACATTAGCTATTATGATGAAATATATTTTTACAATCGACAGTTTAGCTTATGATAGTAAGCTAATTTAATAATGTAACCAGTAAAATCATGATGATGAAAGAAACAAAGTGAAAATAAATAAATAATTAATTTTTAAAAAAAGAAGAAAGAAACAAAGTGAAATTACAATAACAACAACAACAACAAACTGCCTAGGCACAAATATAACAAAAGAAGTGCTGGGCTTATGTGAAGAAAATATTTAAAGGTGTGAATAAACAGAGAGACCCAGCATGCTGCTAGATGAGAAGACAGTCCTGCAGGGATACTCATGCTCCTCCAAGTCAATCACTTCTTCACAGTCCTAATCAGGAACTTCACAGGACCCAGCCTGGCAGTACCCCAGGGCATACTTCCTAAACACTCACCCACACACAGCCACCAACCTGCCCAGGTGCCCTTATTTCCCACCCTTGTCTGTCCACATTGGTTCCCTCCGTGGACCGTGACTCCTCAAGGTCAAATCAAGTCTGCAGCACCTTAGTACCCGACGGTGGACTCATGCAAGACATCAGCAGAGGCCAGCTGGGTGAGCAACCAAACTGCCCCATGGCACCTGGACCAAGTGGCCTGAGAAGGAACGGTGGAGACACCTACTTTGGGTTTCGCAATCTCCTTGATCCTCTCGATTTCCTCGTCAGACATGACGTCGTAGTACCTGACGATGTGTGGGCTGTCCCATTCATCCTCCTCCTTGAAGGGGGCGATGAGCAGCTGCGGCACCCTGTTGCCATGGTGATACCTACAGAAGAGCCTCTTCTGCCTTCGGGGGGTCTGGGCAACACAGAACAACAGGCCCTGAACCGAGTGAGTCCTAACCCTCAGTCCCAGACTAGCTGCCTGCAGACACTGGTCTCAAACCCCATGTCCAGCAGTCACTCCCTCCCACCTCACCAGACAAGAAAACAAGCCCCTCAGTTTGGCTGGCATGAAATGATATGCCACAAATCATGCAGAGGTTCTCCTCTCCCAAGAATACCTCATTTGACAAGTCCTGTGGCACGGTGTAATTCCCGATCCTTCTCACAGAGATGTGAGTAGGTGAGGAGGGCTGGGGCAGGGGGGATGTCTCTCTAGACAAAGAGCCAGCAGGAGCAAGCAGATACTGGCACGGAGAAGGCCAACAGACTGACTCACATCTGTGCCACCTCTGTGAGGAAGCATCAGGGTCCCAGGGCTCTCCAAGGCCACTGATACCTCATACCAAGCTCTAGCAACTGTCTTGTCTTTGCTAGAGATCACGACTTCCGTTGCGGCCCAAGGCACATCAAGTCCTATGGGTTTTCTTAGAAGGGTGAGTCAGGCAGAAGCTAGCCTCTTGGGATGGGGAGGGGTGCTCAGCAACAACTCAGAAGACTGAAACTCTGCCTGGGACCTCAGGGAAGACAAGCCTCCTATCCTGGACCTCGAAGAACATCCACATGTCAGCCTCAGCAGATACTACCAAGGATTGAGAAAACCACCTACAGACAGAGTAACATCTTCCTCACATCTGTCTGTCCAGAGCTGAAATCTAGGTCCACTGCCTGGGCCCTGACCCATCCACGTGTCTCACCAGTTTGACACCCTCCCCACGACAGAGGCTCTCGTAGACATCCCTCTCGGGCAGGTAGTCCACAGGCCTCTCATATATGCCTTGCTGGGCTGCGAGCTCAGCTTCTGTGTGATTCGATAACATTTTTTCTCTTTCTTCTTCCAACAACCTTTCAAAGTAGTGCAGATTCCCTCCAGCTCGTTCATGGCTCGGGTCTACAAAAGGAAAGAACATGAAGGAAAAGGAAACCACAAACATCTGTTAGGTCATTTAGAGAAATTATTCTGTAAGCGGTTTCCTCTCCCAGCAGCTCACTTGCACGCAGCATTCTGGCTTCCACAGCACCTAAGTGGGTTTGCTGGTCATAGAGGAAAAGCCAGAAGAGGTTCTCTCCCCTCTGGTCAGAGATGAGAAAGGAGCAACAAAGCAGAGGGTGGAGGGGATGCCGCGCCACTGATGCCGATCTCCTCTCAGACTTCCCTGGAAATCCTGAGGACACGGGTCCAGAGAAGCAGTCCAGAGTTGCCTCCTCCTCCCAACTTGGCTGTGTGCTAGCTTCATCCGTGCCCTAGGGTCCACCTGTTCCATTACTGGTGAGCGCATCATGCCCTGGCCACAGCGAGAAGGCAGGCTGAAACACCAGCAACAAGAACAGCCACGTGACACTCCCGCGGCTTTGTCCTATGGGCCTCATGACATGAAGGAGCGAGCCTGGCAGGATTACTGAGCCACCCCCTCAGATGAGAAAACTGAAGCCCAAAGATGTGAGGAAATTAATGTGAGGTTATTCAGAGGAGGAAGCCAGGTGACCCGACTCCCTGTCCAAGGCTCTTACTGACACAACAGAGTCTACAAAGCTCTCTTCCCACATCCGCCTAACAGACATCCACACTAGCTGGCCTCAGACACAGGACCCATGAAAAGCAGCAGCAAAAGGAAGTATTTGCTGGCCAGTGAAATCCCAGACTATGATATCCCAAATATTAATAAGAAGAGGAACAAATAGGTTCTTAAGACACAGTGCTTCTGATTTCCTTCAGTCTAACATCACAAGACACTTAACCAAAGCCATGGCAAGTCCATCAGTTAGACCTCAGACCTCTAATAACAGGTCAGGCCACTGTCACTGCAGCAACCCTGAAATACAGCTTGCCTCTCGAGTTATTGTGCTTGTAATAAAGACTCCAACCTACAGGGCAGCAGACAGACTGCAAACCTGGATTCCCATTTATAAATGGAATAGAAATCTATGTGCAGGCCTGAATGTATCCATCAGTGACTGGGCAAGGGTTAAGGCCAGAACCGAGGTAGGTAAAGAGCAAGCTGGAAGCTAGCCTGGGCCTGAAAGCAGCAAAGGATTGGTCACCACCTAGGCAACTGGTCAAACTGGCTTGGTCCCTGACAGCAGCCACTCCTGCCACCTCCCTATCTGCACCTGACCTTCCCCCAGAGGCTCCTTACCAAGGGAGAGCAGGCGGCGGGTGAGCTCCACGGCACGGTGCAGGTCACCCAGCTGGAAGACGGCATAGCTCAGGTAGTCCAGCACCTGGGCCTTGGATGTGGTGGCCTCCTCCCCAGCATCGAGCTGCTTTAGTACCTGTTCCATCCACAACACCGTGTGGTAATAGTCGCCTTCATTGTAGGCCGAGCGGCCCATCCCAAAGCAGTCGTCAACACTCAGCACGGCCTGGTACTTGGTTCCTGCAGCCGGAGAGGCACGTAGTCAGGCTCCAAAGGGTTAGGGAGAGAGATTTCCCCCATTGCAGGAGGCTGGGACCCTGGGACTGGGGGCATCACCCCAGCAGAGGCCCACTAGGATTTCAGACTACACACCTCCAAGGGCCATTGAGTACAGAAAGCACAGCCATGCTGGCCCTGCCTCCGGCTGGGGTGCACAGCCTATCTCCTAGCCTCAGACTCTCCTCTTTCCAAGGGGGATGGAGGAGCCCAGGACGCCCAAAAAGTAGTGTTCAGGAGAGTATAAAGGTTCTGCAAGCCGCACAGGAGATGTCTGCAAGGTAGCTGACCATTTGAGACTGGAAGTTTAGAAAAAATAACTTGAATATAAAAAACAGAACTGAGGTGGCAGGTAAAGCCATGGATGAAGATAAATGCTTCCAGAAATAAGTGTCAGGAAAGAGAGACACAGTAGCTGAGGCCAGGGCCCCAGACGCCACCTGTACAGAAATGATGGAGTGAATAACACTGAGAAGTACCTAAGAGAGAGCAGAAGCAGAACAGGAGAGGTGCGACAGATGCCAAGGGAGGTCAAGAAACAAGACTGCAGTGCCAGCTTCGACCACTAGGTGGTGAGGCCCTTCAAAGTGAAGGTGTGAGTCACTCAGTCCTGTCCCACTCTTTGTAACTCCATCAACTGGAGCCACCAGGCTCCTCTGTCCACGGAATTCTCCAAGCAAGAATATTGGAGTGGGTAGCCATTCCCTTCTCCAGGGGATTTTCCCAACCCAGGGACTGAACACAGGTCTCTCACACTGCAGGCAGATTCTTTACCATCTGAACCACCAAGGCGGGCCCTTGGTAAAGGTCAAGTCAGCAGGTCCTCTGACCATAGGTTGTCTGCTGTTGGTTCATGCTGGAAGTGACCATGAAGAGTTTCAAGTCAAGAAGGAGATGTGTGTGAGCTATGCAGAGATGCGGGGCTTAAGCTGTGACCCTCCTGGAAAGCAAAGGAACTTCCTTACAAAACCATTAATAGCAACCTAGGCATGGCTGACAATGAAAAGCTGCCTCAGAGTGGGCTCTTTCTGCGTGATATCTAAGATGTCCAGAATTAAACCCCCGCTGCCATGGGTTGGCTTCAGGGGCTGCTCACCAGGATGGCTCAGGAACAGACAATGTAGGACAGGATAGGAAAACCGGGAAAATAAAACACCAGACAGAGTTAGCAGGAAGACCATAAACGGGAAAAAGGGGGGCATCCTTGAGTCCTTGTTCACTCTCCATGAACCTCCACAGATCTCTGGCTCTGTAGGTGCAGGAACTCAACACTGATGGAGGCAGCATAACACAGGTGAGTGGGTTGGACAAAGCAGGGTCTGTATGGGCCTACCTATGGCACCCAACAGCTGTGTGACTATGGACAAGTTACTTAGCCTCTCTGATTCTTAGTCTGTTACCTCTAAAAAGAGATAATGCCATCAATTTTAGAGGACTTGTGCCAAGAATTCAAGAAGACGATGTCACATGAAAATGTCTCCTATGAGTCCTCAGAGTGTAATAAACAGTAGTTGTTACCATATGTCTCACAGATACCAAGAATGTCAAGAATGGCTCCCAAACACTCAGTATCTTTCCCAGAAACCAACGTGAAAGTCTGCTCTCTGGAAAGTGCTCTCAGGAGAATACCAGTTGAGCTGAATGGTGAAGGGCCATAAAGGTAAACCTGCAGAGTTTGTGGGATGAAACAAAGAAGCCGAGCAGTGGTGAAGCTTAGTACAACAGACAAGGAGGCCAGGGAGACAGAACGATGCAAGACCGCAAAGACCACATGTTAAGAGGAATTTGGATTTAGCCCTAAAAGTAAAGGACTGTGAACAGGCTCCCCTGGAGAAGGTGCTTAGGGAGACACCAGGTAGGAACAGCACCCTGGGGAACAACTCCCATCCACCCCTCACTGCCCCTCCAGGATACACATGCGGTTGTTACTGAATGTAAAGGGTCAATGTGCTGGCTGTGGCTCCCTCTTCCCATCAATCATTCTCTTAGCTATAGGGCGAACGGATCCTGCAGGTGCCCCAAGCCACCTTCTCTCTCTGGCCTCCTGGCCTTGGTCCAAAATCTGGTTGAGTGAGGATTAAGGAGACATTCCCAGTCTTCCTGCTGGCTCCCTGGGCTTCCCAGTACCAAGGCTCTAGGCTCTGACCAGCCAATAACACAGTTCCTCCCTCTCCCACACACCATGATTCCCTCTGCTGTGCCTCCTACAGGGTCCCCAAGGGTGAGGTGGCCTCCAAGATCTACCAGAGTCTAATGGAATCCCTGGGTTTATTGCCCTTTAATAGCCACCAACCCCCTACACGCCTTCTTATAAACATACTGAGGCAGCCAGTTGAATTGAAACAGGGCCTGTAAAAGAAATGAGAGAGAGAGGTGCCAAAAGAGAAAGGGCTGAGATCAGCATCTCAGAATTCAAAGGAGGGGAGAACATCAGGAAGAATCAGGCAATTAATATGCTGAACGCTAGTGAAAACCTAAAGAACATCTGACCTGAAACCTGTCTACTGGCTTTACCATCCAAGTGGCCCCTGGTGATCTTGCAGGGGCAGGAGGAGGCCAGACATTGTGTGTTCAGGAGGACATAGGAACCAAGGAAACAGGAAGAGTGTAGATGACTATCCAGATGCCTAACCAGGAGGGAGAAGAGATCGATCAGCAGCAGAGACACAAAGGGGCCTGGGATCCTGAGGCCGGGGTATGTAAGATGAGCAAGAACAGAGGTTCTGAGATGAGCTCGGGGGGAAGAGTCCAGAGAGGCAGACACAGAAGAAATGGGCAGACTGTAACTTAGGGCACATGGGCCACGGGACAATGAGTTCCGAGATCACTCCTAGGCAAGAGGACCCTGGAGGATGGGAACAGAAGTGGGTCTGGATACAGACCTGAGTGGTACTCTGGAGACACAGGCCAAGGAGGTCCTGAGCAGCAGCCTTGGCATTCGCTGAGCTGAGAGAGGGGAGGCCTGGGCTGGAGGGAGGTGGTGGGGCAGGGGCTGAGGGGAGGCAGCTGTCATGGACTAGGGGACTGGCACCAACTGGAAACAAGAGAGAACCATCGCCAGAGGTGACAGCGCACCTGGGGGTAGAGACCACGAGTCAGCAGTGGCTCCAGCCCTATCCAGACACCATAGTAGACACACATGCTAGACAGGCTTTGTCTGGAGTGGTGAGTTACCTGGAAGGTCCCCTTTGGAAATTGTATCTGGGTCCAGTTTGTATGTGTCCTGAAGTCTCATCAAGGCCTTGGCGGCTCCTGTTTCATCTTCATCGGTGGGGAAGAACTGTCGCTGCACTGACAGGTTTGCAATAAAATCTTCCAAAGGAGAGAGTGAGAACAAAAGGTTACCTCTATCCAGGGACAGAATTTCACCCGGAACCAGACAGGCACCCAAAGGAGGATCTCTGGCTAGTGCAATTCCTTGCCCCTTCCCATGAGGGCCATTTCCCCTTCCTCCAGGAAGCCCATCCTAGTGGCTCCAGTTCAGGGAGACTTCTCCTTTCTTACTCCTCACTGTACCAACTGCCTGTGCTGCTCATCTGAACTGAACAGAACGGCCCCCTCATACTAATTAACATGTCTTGGATCCAAAGCACTCAGACAGATCTGGTGGAGACAGAAGGAACAGAGAGGGTAACTGACGGGGACACAGGAAAAGACTAAGCGGGGAGTTGCTGACCACTCAGTAGAAAACAAACCACACGGTAAACTCTGATTTAGGATTATTAGGCCGGCCAGGTAATCACAAACTCCTGGCCCACATCTCAGATGGAGGAGCCCAAGGGACAGAAGAGAGCCCAGCTGGCCACTCATTACTGACCACTGGTCCTAATCATCCAGAAAGGTAATGATGACAGTCCTGGAGGTGTATGGCGCAATCCCGTCACCAAGATTAGGGATCAGAGGATCATCTGAGCAGGCCAAGTACTGAGGTGGGCCGCACATGCCCTGTTGTGCGTGATTCCCCTGCCAGACCACACCGGCCTGCTCTGCTCACTAGGATAATTCCTGCCACTGTGACTCACATTGAGCTCAGGGCATAAGCTCCCTGACTGTGGTGCTCAAGACTACAGCCCTGAGTCTGGGAGAACCCTAACCACAGAAGCAACCAAAGAAGCTATTTTGTGACTCCAAGACCCAGCTATAAAGCAAGATATACATTTCCTGCAATCTCAGGACTTCAAGTGGGGGCCAGTCTCTCCCATGCTGATTTAGGGGCTTCACCTGTGGTCAGGAGCTGAGAATTGGAAGGGGAACGCCAAGGCCATTTCTTTTCCAGCCTCTTCCCACAGCACCCACTACCTCAGGCACAAACATCCACTTCTAGCCATGCCTGAGGACCCAGGAGCCAAAATGCTGCAACCCTGTCTCCTCCATGGCTGCATGGTTAGGGACATTAAGAGTTTACAATCCAGAGAGAAAAAATTGCTTTCCAGAAAAAGCCACATTGTTAAGTGTTATTTCCCTGCCTCCCCACTCCCCATTTCAGGGGCCAGAGCTCTGAAAGAAAGAGGTAAAAAACAACCTATTGCTCTCTGGGGCTGTCCTATCTCCCTCTGGGTAATTATAAGGTTTTCCAAAGGAACCAGATGTTGATGGTGGGGGCTGGGTATGGAGAATAAGACTGGAGAGCAGGAGATCATCTGGGCGGGCTTATTCTCCTGCAGTGCAGGCAGAATGGCCAGTTCTGAGCTACAGGCCCAGGCTGGGAGGCAGGGTCTGGGAAAGACAGCCACGGCTTCTGGAGGCAGTGAGCTCAACTGGGCACAGCTCCAGCCCGGCTGAGTTCACCAATCCCTCCCTGGAGGCCACTCTGCTCCCGGCCAAGCCAAGCCCAGCCCAGTCTGGCCACAAGGGCTAAAACGCCTCAGCTTGAGAGACAACGAATCTGAGGTTAATCAGCACTTCCAACTCAGGGGGGAGAGGCAGTGGGTCCAGGGGGGCTGGGCCCAAGGCTGGAATGGGAAGGGCCCACCTCCAGGCCTGCCCCACCATCTGCTGCTAAGAGGAAAATATTAGAGCATAAGAAGTACTATCACAGTAAAAGCACTAAGCAGAGCTGAAGTTTTTTAAAAAAAAAGTTCATACTCTGACCTGCAAATCCCACTTAGGGGAACTGATCATAAGAAAATAATCAGAGGTGGGCAGATAGATAGGGGTAAGATTGCTGATAACTTGGGAACAATTCCATGTCCACTGACGACCATTTTTACACTACATCAGTGTGACGTATGACTGCTGCTGCTGCTGCTGCTGCTGCTGCTAAGTCGTTTCAGTCGTGTCCGACTCTGTGAGACCCCATAGACAGCAGCCCACCAGGCTCCCCCGTCCCTGGGATTCTCCAGGCAAGAACACTGGAGTGGGTTGCCATTTCCTTCTCCAATGCATGAAAGTGAAAAGTGAAAGTGAAGTCAGCTCAGTCGTGTCCGACTCTTAGCGACCCCATGGACTGCAGCCTACCAGGCTCCTCCGCCCATGGGGTTTTCCAGGCAAGAGTACTGGAGTGGGTTGACATATTACTGAGCCAGACATTAAAATCACGTGGCAGAAGAACATTTAAAAACATACACAGCAGTTGAAAAATTCAGGAAAACTGTATAAGCTTATGTCACAAATCTGCCAATGGATATGTCTTCTTTCTAAAAGATATGAATGGGAATTAATTTAGAGGAGGCCCACGCCCCCACCACTTAGCCCACTTAACCTTTGTTAATTCGTTTGGACCCTCAAACATTCCCTGGTATGGTTCCATTTTATACACGTGTAAAAAAGACTACGATTTTAATAGTGATTATCATCCGGCAATTGGATTAAAAACTGTAATTTTCTTATATGATTGTTTTTGTTTTCCAACTTATCTAGAAAAATGTATTACTAAAGCATAATTAGAAAAAGTCACTACCCCCCACCCCAAAAGGGACACCAAAACACTAGAAAAAGGCATGAACTGATTTTTTATTTTGGCCCTGCTGTGTGATTCAGGATCTTAGCTCCCTAACCAGGGATCAAACCCATGCCCTCCTGCAGCAGAAGCACAGAATCCTAACCACTTGACCACCAGGAAATTTCCAAGAACTGATTATTATTAATATCACAGTTGAAAGCAAGGACAGCCAATCGCCAGGTCCCCACAGAGATAAGAGCAGCTGCGGTCTGCACACTGCATGTGCACACCAACATCCTGAACCAGGACCGGCTCAGATCCACACACCACAGGTGCAAGCCCAGAGACAGCAGCTCACGAAACCACTGCTCACAGCCCCTCACCTGCGGCTGAGTTCTGCAGGACAAGGTCCTCCAGCGCAGGCCAGTCCGTGTTTAGCCGCTTGACCAGTTTATAGGCATTCACAGGGTGGGCCAGGTAGCCCTCAGGGTCAGCAGCTGACTTGCTGGTCAGGGCTTCCATTTTGTCGGCCCAGCTGTGGAACCACAGAAAAAGGTAGACTAACACACCCATTCACATGGATCTTGACCTATGGTAATGTTCCTGGTAAGGTTCAGAGGATCTCTATCCAGAAAGGAAAAAGCAGCAATCCTCAGCCCCCATATTTAGCTACTCCCAGGGACTGGCATGAAGTAAACTCCAGGCCAGGCCCATACTGCCCCCTCAAGGGCTTCCTCTTATGGGCACCCTGGGTGGGTTCCTGGTGGGGACTCCTGCTACTCTGCCACCCTGGCTCAGGGTGGCTGTGGGGACTTAGGACATCAGACACCTCTTAATCTTGGAGAGCTTGGCTTCCTCCACCAGGATGTACTCCTTCAGAGACTGCACCAGGTCCTTCTCTGCATAAATCAGGTCTGTCATGTGTCCTGCAAGGGAGAGACAAAAGGGCCAGTAAGAAGTGGATGAGAGACATCCAGCTCCCAACCTTGAGGCAAAAGACATCAGCACAGAGGTAAGCTGAGCCAGGCGCATGTCAGCCCTCTTGGGGTCATGGGGGCCTAGGGTTAAAGGAGGACTAGGCACTCATATGGTCCTGGCCCCCAGCTTTAGGAAGAGAGAGGCAGAGGCTCCAAGCAGATGGTAAGTGCCCTGAGGACACCTTAAGGAAGAAACCCTGAATCTCACTCTCCTACTGTTGCCCAGCTGGGTCATATTCCTGGGACAAGGATGTCCGAGGGGCTTCTCTGCTCAGAACCATTCTCTAGTCCAGGAGAAAGTTGGACAGAAAGGCCAGGCAGCCCAGGAGCAGCCTGCACTTTCCAGGGTGGAGGCCCAGCTGAGACGGCCACCTACCAGGAAGGACATCCAGGTCATCAGGGGTCAGAGGCAGAAACAGCAGCTCTGCAAGCCTGACTCTCCCCAGATCTGATTAAAACCAGTGGATGAGGCCACCCCACCCTGAAGGAGAACAGGCTTCAGGTAGTGTCATCCCCTGGCACTTGAGCCAAGGACTGCCCAGGCAGACGATAGTCCTGTTGGCACATACCAATAGAAGTGAAGAATTCAGCCTGCACGCAGCCCAGGACACCAAACCAGGCCACCAGCAACGTGGACTCCCAGGGTTTCATGGTCACAGAGGGCAGTGTCTGCAAGGCATTCAGTGATAGTCATTAGATCAACAATGGTAAAAAGCAACTTAGGAGAGGACACATACACATGTGCACATATACATAGACATTCAAACATGCCAGACTCTGACCCAGCACATGGAAGTTAAGGAAGATATTCAGGATCACCAGTGGAAAGACACCAGGGTGTAAACCAGGGATCTTCACTTAATTCTGTCCCCTGCTCTGGGAGGCTGAGTGCCCATGGGAGAGACTCTGCCCTCTCAACTTCTGATAACCACTGACAACATGCGAAGGCTAAATGGGGAGGAGGGACAGTCACCCCTGGTTCTAAGGGTCTGTCAGTTCAAGATTCTGACCCAGACCTCTTCTCTGTCTTTCCTTCCAACACAGGTGCCAGGACAGTGCCAGGTGCTGAGGACCCAGATGTAACACACTGCCCACGGGCAGAAAGAGAACCGAACACAATAAGTCCCTGGGGGGGGGGGGGGAGGGGCGTCCACACCCAAACAAGGTGTACAGCAGATGGTCAGCCAGAAGAGAAATCAAACCGCTCCCTGCTGGTCTGCATCTGGCCATGGTGAGAGCAGGCTGGGCAGACACTGCTCTTCCTGCAGCGAGGCTGCTTGGCAGACACTGTCCTCATGGAGAATCACCATTCACAAATATTTACTGTGCCAGGCACTGAGCTAGGCGCTTTGGATACAAAAATGAATCAGCCACACAGGGCCAAAACCTTAGACTGGGCTGGGCTGCTGACATAAGTAAGAGGCTGTCTTCCCATCAGCCTAGAAATAGCCAGACGCAGCTCTGAAGGCAGAAGGCACACCATGGGGCAAGCCCACTGGCAGTGGACCCAAGTATACAACGTAAGCTTCAGACATCATCTCCCAGCTGGGCCACGCGGCCCGGAGCACGCAGGAGGAACATCCACCCGAACGCCAGTTCTGCCAGTCCCTCTTCTTCCTGCTCTACTTCAGCCAAGCCCCACTGGAAATTTACTGAGAGAAAACAAGGAAAATAAAGGAAGTACAAAGGCTTTCCCTCCAAACTGCAAGCCTTATCTGACAGAATTCTAAGGCTGAGCTGACTAATGCCAGCTCATCAGTCTTTTGCCTGCAATGGCTGATTGGACGCACAGTCACACTCATCATTCCTCACTTCACCCTTCCAGGAGAAATTCCAATCCACTGTGGCTCCCAGTGAGGCTCAGAGAAGCCCAACCACGACCCTCAACCCCAAACGGGTTCCTGTATGAAGAAGAGGGGGGCAGCCCTGGTGGCTCAGCTGGTAAAGAATCCGCCTGCAATGCAGGAGACCTGGGTTCGATCCCTGGGTTGGGAAGGTCCCCTTGAGAAGGGAAAGGCTACCCCTTCCAGTATTCTGGCCTGGAGAATTCCGTGGATTTTATAGTCCATGGGGTCACAAAGAGTTGGACACGACTGAGCAACTTTCACATGAGGAAGGGGAGAGGATAAGTGAGTGCCCCCCTTTACCCCCTGCCAAATGTATGCAGAGCTGACAGTGCTCTAGGTGTCAGGGGCCCAGAGATACACAGGACAAGACTATTCAGCCCAGAACCTGCTGCAGGGTAGGGAGGATGGGCTAAGGGGTCCACTACAAAGTCAGGGCAGTAGAGGAAAGCAAGTCCCTGAGAAGAGGTAACAGGACCCTGTCCAGCCCCAAGGGAGAGCCCAGACCCTCCTTTTTCTAGTCTCAGATCTTCTCCCAGGCCTCAGCACCCTGCATCCACCACCAGGATTCTAGAAGGCCTTTCCTCTTGCTTACATAAGACCCTTTCTCAGGGAATGGGGTCTGCTCCTTGTACTTCAAGAGGCTTCGTCAGCTTAAGAGACCACCTTCTATACCATGTAGGGAGAGAACAGTAAAAACCCAGAGCCAGGAGGCTGTGTCTGCAGACAATAAGGAATCAGCCAACTGCCTGTCAGGCTGCGGTGATGGGGGAATAGTACCCAGGCAGGAGGCCAGACTGCACACGGCTGGAAAGTGGGGGGCAAGGGTCACCGTTGTCCCCTGTTCCATCACCAGTTGCAGTGGCATGCCTCCTCAGAGATCAGATAACAAATTTAAGGAAGGGAGAAACCTCATTGTTTCTTTCAAATTGGTGATACTGGCCACGGTTCATGCTTTATAGCACTCACGAAAATACAGCCAGGTTCCTTCATTACATGAATACCAGCTGTCATTTCTCTGGAATGTGCTATCTGGCTCAGACTGAGACTATCCACGAATCCCAGTCTGGAGGCAGAGCCCAAAGAATCGCAGATGGGTTTCTGGGCGACCAAGGGCTTACAAAGTCCTGTTCTGACAGAGGAGGGGGCTGACGATCCTGCTGGCCCAGACACCTAGGCACTCCCACACAGCCCCCAGACCGCTCAATCTAAACTGTCACCCCATCCCATTTCTCCTGAACACTAATTTGTATTAGGTGTACAAAAGGTCATCTAATCAGGCTCAGGTTGGGAGGCAGCAGTCTCCAAGGACTGGTGTCACAGTGTCACCTGCATGCCCCCCATCCCATCACATACCTATACCAGAGCTTGCTGATGACAGAGTAAGTGGGTGCCTGTATGCCTGCCAGTGCTGCCAGAAGCCCTCCAGGAACCCTCAGAAATCCACGCTGAATAGGCCTAGAAATAGGCAACACTGAGCCCCCTTGTATGAAAATAAAGTAGCACCAAGCCTGAGCAGAAAACCCATACTGAGTTTTATGTAAGCTGCATCCCGAGTTTTGAACAAATTCTGGCCCATATCTGGCACCCAACAAAAAGGAAAACCTCACCACAGATTTGTTCATGCCAGGAAACTATGACATCAGAAGATGTTACATTTCTTCCGTACAATGGATGGTTATGGACTGTGTAGGAATGGATACTGTACGCTTTTTAATACCAAGAGAAGACCAAAGCATCTTGCTAAGTGAGAAAAATAGGCTCCCAAACAATATATACTCTATGCTTTCATTTTTATAAGGAAAAATTTTTATATATGGAAATTTACATACCTACATATATATGTAAGCAGGGAGTCATGAATCTAGTTGTTATCTTAGTGAAATAATTCTATTTTTCTCTTTATGTTTATTTGTATTTCCTAACCTTTCCACAAGAAGTTCTACGGGAAACTTGAAATATATTTTATATAACATCTAAAATGAGAAGAAAATAAAGCAAGCCCTCTCCAATGGACTCCAAGAGACCCAGCAGCCTGAGTTGGGGCCCCCACAGGGAGGTCCTTCAAAGCCTGCCAACACACCAGCGACAATAATTCACCCACCAGGCAACCGGCACTATTTCTAAGCACAGGGCAGTTCCAAGACATACAATCACAGGCCCCAGCAAGCTGGCTCTTTGGAGAGGACACTCACAACGGGGCCAAATAGCCATGAAAAGATGTTTCCAACTGCAAACCAGCAGCGTCCTCAGCTTCTCCCCTTACCTCATCAGGCAGGAACCTATGCCAAGCTCCCAGCTGCAACCCAAATACAACAGCTTGAGTTTTAACAATGTATTTAACAGCCTAGAGACAGAACATGGGTTTGCCAAGAACAAACAGGTCTCGTTTGGCTCCGAACAAGAGGATGCCTGCCTTCTGCGAAGGGGCAAGATCTGCCTGAACAGGGCTCCCTCCAGTGGCCTTGCCTCCTGGTCGTGTGGCCAACTCTGCATGGCACAGCCAAGAGAACCTGCGTGCTCAACCGAGCAAGAGTTGACAGAGGCTCCAGAGGTCTGACCACCTATGCACATGCATGTCCACTGAGGCCCATAAGCTGCTCTCCCTGGCACCCCAGGGGAGGAATGAGAGGTGCCCGACTCTCCTCACCTGGTATCATGCCTCAACTATCACCCTGATCTGAACCACCCCTAAGTCCTTCTTACTGCCATATTGGCCCCTGCCTGCACCAGACTCCCATCTTTGTGGCCTCCCTCCCACCTCTGCTCTACAAAGTAGCCAGCACGGCTTACTGCACCCACTCCTTTGGTCTCTCTCTGCGTAAGAACCCTCCAAAGGCTCTCCACTGTTCTCAGAACAAAGTCCAAATTCCTTAGCACTTTTTGACTCTGTGTGACCTGCAGTTTCTCTATCCAGCACCTGGACATGCTGACTTGTACTACCCATGTGGGTACCCTCAAAACCAGAAGGCTCCTGCTTCAGTAACTAGACAACAAAGTAGCAGAGAAGGCTGTACAAATCAACATGCAAAAGTCAGCTGGGTTTTCAGTCGGAGTCTTGGCACAGACTCGGCAGTCTAGGCAAGACTAACTTATCAGGAACCACGGGAAAGAAGACCCACACACTGCTCTGCTGGATGCAACGGGAGGACCACCTTGTGCTCTCCTGGCCTTACCTGCCTCCTGGGCCACCTGCTCTATCTCAGACCTGGTGAAGGACACTGCGCAGGCTCCAAATCTCAGACTCTTCCTGCAACTTCTAAACTCCAGTGAAGTGCCTTGCTGGCCTCTCTGGGGACTGCTAGAGGGCCTGGGAGTGCAACTGAGGACTGGGCAGGGTTGGGGGCGGTGGGCGGAAATAACTCCTCTTGGGCAACTGTGACCAACGAAGAACAGACACAAGAGGACATCGGCACATAAATGCCCTCTCCAGGCCTCCAGTGAGAAGCATCAGAGCCCACCCAGAGATGTCCAGCACAGCTGAACAACTGGAGCACCTCTGTGCAGACTAGCCAGCTTGCTACAGCACCACCTGGGATTTGCTTCCCTTCCTTCTCTTACCCTTACTTACTTACCTCTCTCTCTTACTTACCCTACTCTCTTACCCTTCTCTTATTCCCTTACCCTTGCTACTTTGCAACTGTACCTTCTAACAAAGCATCAAGTATTTAAGCTCTCTTTTCTGGGAACTAGGCTAAGCTAACCATTATTCATGTTTCCAAAAATCTTTCACGTCTACCAACACCTTGTAAACTAGATAGATTTTCATCCCCATTTCAGATAGAGATATGTAAAATACATAACTGA